TGATCTGTGCTCAGTGACTACAAACCACTTTAACAGATTTAACTTGTTTTTCAGAGGCATTTTTGTAAAAAGACACTTAATTTTCACTTTTCCTGGCATTAACCAGGGAAATCAAGCCACAGTTTTACTTTACAAAACTCTGAGGAAGGAACACTCAATTTGATGTTCATGTGAGATATAATTACCCACTTTTCTTCCTTTACAACATGTTTCCAGAGACAGGATGACAGGCCAAGAGGCACATAGTATAGTGCCTGTCATTAGTAGCAAGCACATGCTTTTGAAAGAATTTCATAATAACACTCAAAAATACCATTTCTGATTCTTTGACTATTTTATGAATATTATAGCACATCAGAAAGGATTGACTATAGCAAAGGTAGAATAGGAATTTATTGAACAATGAATTACAATTTCAATAACAAGCAGATGGTATACATTTAGCATATACAAAGTGTCCATCCCTGCCCCTGATCCCCCAAGTTGTCCTACTGGCAGGGTCATGATTACTCTTATGAAGGCGATTTTAAATGAAGTGATCCTTTATCTTGTTCCTAAAAAAAAAACAAAAAACAAAAAACAAAAACTCTCATCCTTCAAGGTTCATCACAAGACTGACAACTGAATGAATTTTTTAAGTATTACATATGATTCCTTCCTCTTTTCAATCTAGTTTGTGTCTCTGTTTTGATCACCTAATAAAGCAACCATACTCAGTTATCAGTGAGAATTTCCACCATGCTCTAAGTCACCCTAGTGGTCCATTCATCATCTCATTTCTTCTCTGCAGCACTCCTGCAGAGTCTATATCATTTCTACAATACACAAAGAAGCCAAGCAAAGATTTGAATCATAGTTTTAACTCCAAAAATGACAGTCTAAGTAATACAGCTTCAATATTTGAATTTCCTTTGAATAGAGTGTGAGATTTGGTCCCCTACTCACTTGGCAAGTTTTTTAGCATATCATTGTGTAAAGATGTCCATAACCCCACCACAGGGTTTTGAATAGTAAATAGTCAACAGATACTGTATTTCTTGTGGTCCAAGAGTAGACCCCTTTTCTACAACTAAAAGCCTTTTAAACTGAAACATTTGTCAAAACAATGCCTTGATTTATATGGCAGCATTTTCTCCTTTTCTCGGGAGTGCTATTACTCTCCAGAGGTTTCTGAAAGAATTCCATCTTAGAATTAAGTCATTACAGAGGCAAACAAGTGCAATTCAATCCAAACTTCTCCAAGAAAAGATTACCATAAAGGTAGATTCCTTAATATTTTCCCACTTGTTAGCTTAGGGGAACACTGAAAGGGAAGAACACCAGACAAGAAGTTGTGAGCCCTGGTGTCAAGTGGGCTGAGACCTCTGGTTGGGGACTGCTGGATGAGGGCAGAGTTGCAGCCCACACACTGAGGTGAGACGGAAGCAGGCAGAAGAAATGCCAGGTTGGCTCTGTCTTTTAACAGTAGCTTGAAGGAAGTCCTAGAAGACTGGTCAGGATATCATGGAAAAGAGACTAAACTGTGTCTATCCTCCTTGTCTTACTTGGGGCGTTGGTGTTGTGGTTTGAAATGAACCATAAAAAAATTCTTTTCCATGAGGGTGGCTTAAACAAAGAGACAGAACTGAAAGAAATTGCTCCTGTGTGTGTGTGTGTGTGTGTGTGTGTGAGTGCGTGCGTGCGTGCGTGCGTGCGTGCGTGCGTGTGTGTGTGTGTGTGTGTGTGAGAGAGAGAGAGAGAGATGTTTGTTTGTTTGTTTGTTTGTTTTTCCTGAAGAAAGAGAGAATAGAGGCTGCGGTTGAAATTAGCCAAAAGGGATAACTGAAGGAGCGATGTCTCTGAAGGACCAGTCTGGAAAGAGGCTCGGGGCATGAGGGGAGGTGTCCCATGGAAGGAAGTCTTTTCCACCAAGCTGAAGGAAACAGGTGAGTGTAGGCACACATGCAGTGCATTCAGAAGCGTGCAATGGGCCAAGAGAGAGGATGCCTAGGGGCTCTTAAGTTCTTTGCTAAGAATGAGGATGTGACAGGTAGCAGAGCAGCTGCAGGAGACACTGCAGAGCTGCCTTGTGCTGAGGACACAGCTGAAGTTGAGTTGTCTGGTGTGATTATGCATATGTGCATGGTTCCCAAGGCAGTAGAATTTATAATAGACTGTTTCTCCTAGAGGCTGCGGAGTCTCAGATCAAGGTAGCAGCATGCTTGGTGCCTAGTAAGGGCTACTTTATTCTTCCTGTTGCTCTGTCCCCCAATGAGATCAGAGTCCTCACATGGTGGAAAAGCAGAAGAGAAAAGGAGCCAAAGGAAAAGAAACGTTTCCTCTAGCCCCTTCATAAGGCACAAATTACTATTTTAGCCTTTCAAAGCCAATAATTTTAAAGCACTTAACTCAATACTTGATTGGTTTCAAGATGTTTAATTGTAGTGTGAATGACATCATTCCTTAATAATGTCATTAACGCTGTTAAAAATGAATTCTAAGGGTGAAGAGATGGATCAGTGGGTCAGAGCACCTGCTATGCTGGCATCAAGAGCCTAGCTCAAATCTCTACCACCTGTGTTCAAAGTAGCAAGAACTAAAAACGTCTAGCATGGCTGCACGTGTGTAAAACCTCAGGGCAGGGGACCAAGGACAAATAGATTCTGGGAGTTCACTGGTTAGGTAACCTAGTAGAAATGGTAAATTTCAGGCACACTGAGAGACCCTGTGGCAAGAGAAAACAGCAGCCTCTGGCTTCCATATGCAAGTATACCTTCAACCCCAAATGCCAACACACATACACATTAACTCCTGTTGCAGTATGTGATGCTACACTGTTGTTGAGGAAATACTATGAGCTTTGTGAGTACCTGAGGTGGGTCTCACATACTGACTAATGTCTTTTGGTTTCTACAGGCATTTTCATAGTTTTATTAAGCGTAAGTAGTTTCACTTGGGAAAGGGCTTGGATTGCAATGCACTTCCCAGGATGATGTTGAGTTTTCATAGCATGCTTTAAAAGGGGATCCAGGTTTGGCATCACCAGGCTTGATGAATGGCTCCACACACAGTTCTCTCAAAACCACGGCTTGGTTTGTAGGCTGAGCCTGACAACTGTTGCTATGCTGTTCACTGGGTCATTGAAGTAAAATTAATGTAAGCACCTAGAAATTCTGGTGCCAGTTGTGTTCATTTATTAAATATTTAGCATATCATGCCAAGATGAGCACAAAATATAGGAGTAAAAGTATTTATACTAGCTATCTTTCACTCTCTCTTACTCTCATCTCTCTCTTTCTCTCTCTCTCTCTCTCTCTCTCTCTCTCTCTCTCTCTCTCTCTTTCTCTCTCAGCTCTGCATGGGTTGGTTACCTCTCACCCCCCTTTCCCTTCCTGTCCACCAATAAACTCCATGTGGGATCATTGAAAAAAAAGTATTTATACTGATATTGATATGAAAGTTATACTACATAGCGTTGGAAGAAACACTGGCAAATTTTTTAGGGAGTCTCCTGTGTGAGAGGGAACAGGGTCCCTCTCCTGCAGTTCAGGACAGTTTCTGGGCCTTGAGAAGAGTGGCTCACTATCTTATTAGGTAGTAAATTTGTAACACTCTTGACTTCCTTGATAATGGCCATCTGGGATAAGGCATCAGGACATATTAAGAGCTGAAATACAAAGCATCATGTCACTTGTTTAGGCTTCAAGCAGTTAGAGTCTGATGGCCAGAAAGTTAGGATTTAAAAAAACTATTATTTATTTATTTATACATTTTGTCTCTACATAACATTGTAAACAATACAAAATAAAAGACAAGTATTAAGTTTAACTTTAGAAAATCCTAAATGGATAGACATAGATTACAAGCATTTTTATCAGGAAAATATAAAGAATTTGCAGAGAATGAGTGGGCTGCAGGTACAGCTAGCTCAGTGATAGAATACATGCCATAAAAGGAGTAGAAGGCAGAAAAAGAAGAGACGGAGAGGAGGAAGAGAGGAGGGAAGAAAAAGAAAAGAATGAAAATAAAACCGAAAACCTAAGAAAGAAGAAAATTCAATAAGGAAGGAATTGTTTTTTGAGTCTCTAGTAGGTGAAGACTGCTTCCCATACTGTATTTTGTAAGCCTTGGGAAATGCCCAACATCATCACCACCATCATCATCACATTCGGCATCATCACCATCATCCTAATTGATTTGTGGCTTGTAAATGTTGAAACATGATATAAAATGTTACTTCTTACTATTACAACAGTTCAATATGTTCCCCCACTCCCAAGGTACTCTGAAAAAATTATATGACTTCAGTGGTATATGTTATCTCATGCAGTGAAGATAAACACTTATCATAGGGGTAATATCAAGTGAGAATCTGTTTCTTTACTGATATTCCTTTTCCAGTAAATGCTAGGAACTGATATGTCATTGCAGTGAATATGATGGATAGCTTTTACTTTGTTATTCATCTCCAAATCTGTGAAAACATCAATTACTCGGAAGTCACATGACTTGCTATTCTAGAGTTGGTCTGGTTGGTCTGGATTTCTGAGTCTGGGTTAAGACAAGCACTTTCTGGCATCTACCGGTTGTCAGAAAAACAAATGGTGCACTGTGTCTGGGTGGCTTCTGGCCATGGGTAGAGGCAGGTGGCCTCTTGAGCTGCCTGCCAGAAACCTCTGGTGTTGACCAACTCAGGAGAGGAGAGCAGGGTAGAAACATGGCATGTTCAGAAGGGTTAGAGGTCAGCACTGAAGGCCTCTGGCCTCTAGTTAGATTAGACATCACCATCCAGGGCCTTGGTGCTGTTATGTATAAAGCAACAGAGCTGGATGACCTCCAACTTCTCTTCCCTGAGAGTTCCAGCAAGGTTCTAAGTGCTAAAAGAAATGGAAACTGAGAGATCATCATTGATGTGAGCAGAGAGGTTTCAGCTGGGCTTGGGGTGGGGGTGGGAGAGTAAGGATTCTACTCTGTGACATCACAATACACAACATAGACTGGATCTTAGCATCTGAGAAGGAAAAGCAACCAAAGTTCAGTTATTGACAGAGCAGAGGCAGAACACTACTGGAAGGACCCGGAAGGATCAGCCAGCCATGCCTCCAGCGCAGGAACACGTCTCCAGGAAGAACAGTGCGGCACAGAGGCAATAGCCAAGGTATCTACCATTCCTAAGGTGTGGTGGGAATCCAGTGGGGCTCCCAACAGAAGCAGATCTGGGGTATGTCCTCTCTAGAATCATTCAGGAGGCCGAGATGCTACAACACAAAGGCATTTCCTAAGTTCTCAGACACCCTACCACTAGCCTCTCCTCAGTCTCTGGGAAAAGCAGAAGGCACAGGTTCTGCAGTCAGTTCACAGCAACTTTCTGGAGGAATTACCTCAGTTGATGATACTCTTCTGCACGGGTGCCTTTCTTTTTAATGGCTTCTCCCAGAATGACAGGGAAGAATAAAGGTTTTAAACATTTTAATAGAGACAGTTTTTAAACTACAACAAAAATTAATGCAAGGTGGAGAAAGGTGTATTATGGGTTAACAATAGAGATTAACTCCAAAGTCTAGTTTTGAAATTCCAAGGCTCCAAGGGCAAAAGGCCTCCCCGAGGGACAGAGAAAGAGAAAGGCCAAATGGTTAAGAAGCCAAGTCCAGTTCAGGTGGAGCCATCACAGTTGTCCCCACCCACCCCACCCCCATCTAAGGATCTTACAGTGAGAGAGTTGCTGCAGGACATGTGAACAGTCCTGTTTTCTTTACCTTGCCTTGGGGTTTTGGCTTCTAAAGTATTTGTTTCTTCCTGGAGTCCCAGAGAGATTCCAAGTGACAGCAAATAGATGTTCTATTGAGCAGCATGGCAGAACTCAGGAAGAAAGGGAGTTTAGATTTAGCTTCTGCAATGAGGTTGTGAAGTCCCAGCTCTCTCTGGTAAACTGACAGGCAGGTATGCCTAGCAAACGTTTGGGATGTTTCCTCTAAAATTACTCCAAAACTTGTAGTTTGACAATGTTATTTAAAAGCCTCAGGACGGGATAAAAGACTGGGACCTCTCCAAAGATCCCCAGGCGTTAGATGGTGAGTCCTGTTGCCACCACCTGGGTGCCTTGGCATCTGGCCACACATAGACCCCCCCCCCCACACACATATGCAGGGCACACCCCTTCCGCCCAACTCCTCTAAGGATTGGGCAACAAGGCCTCTGTAACCTAAGACCCGCGAAATCTGGAAAGGAACATGATCCGGAGTCGATGGGTGTGGGTGCCACTAGGGACACAAGGGTCTCTCCGGCTGTTTACCCTGTGCCTCCTGGAAATCTTGGGAGGGAAAAGGTATGCTGAAAAACAAGCCCTGGGCAGAGCTGTGAGGCACCCGCTGTGGTACCTACCCCTTGTCCTTTCTGCCTCCCGAGGCATGGCTCTCCTGCACACCTGACCCACAGTCACCCGCCTTGGGTCCAGTCTTACTAGTCTCACCTGCGCCTCTGTTACAAGCTATGTGTTGAGGGAGAAGGCTGTTCCTGGTGGAGAGTTTATGTGAAATAGTGGCTCCAGTGGTAGAGTGTCAGAAGCTAAAGGCTGGCGGCCAGGGATCACAGGACAAACCCTATGTCTGCCCCCCCACACCCTCCGCGCCAGGCAGCTTTCTCCATCCTGACAAGTGAACCCGGGCCGCCATAGGTGGGCTGCCTCACTTCTTCTGCCTGGAGAACGGTGTTAGGAGACAAGTCATGAATACCCTTCCTTTAAATATCCGGAAAGTCACTATGGCCACACCACTGGAGCTCTAACCAAATGGAAGTCATTTATCCCAAGTCTTGTTATTTGTGCTGTTTAGCACTGCTGGGTATCATTTACTGTAAATGACAAGTGCTGTGTTTTATGAACCAATATTGTTCACAAACTAAAGGCAAACTCAGAAAATGAACCTTTAATTGGTTGACTGACTTTTTGCAGAGCTGAGAGTTGAACTCAGGCTTCAAACATTCCAGGCAAGATCACCGAGCTACACCTCACATGCAGCATTCTCTTCCTTTGGGGGATGCTTACATGGAAAGTCATCATTTAAAAGAGGCTGCTTGTTAAACAGGGTTATGTTCCTTCCTGTGATAGGAACTGATGGGGTTTCATTCTCCTAACCAATATGCCATCTCCAATCATATCACATCCTCGCAAGGTCGGTATTTTTACCCTAATCACCTATGGTGATTTCAATCCAATTCATATCTTTTGAAAATGTTATGTGCCTGAGACTGTACCAAGTACAGGGGTGACAGGAAAGTGAAATACTGTTTAAACTGGACTTCTTCAAAGCTCAAAGGTTTAGTTGGCTTGATATGTAACCTGCAAAGAGTTCAAAGGCAAAGAAGGAACTCTAACTATGAAAAATGTGTTTCTGGGACTCAGCATAGAAGAGGCAAAGTGGTCTGGAGTATTTAGCAAGCCTTGAGCCATGGGAGAAATCTTGAGGAAGGTAAACAATATGACTGACTGGTCCATGCTTGGGGAAGAAAAACATTTTCTAATGAAAAAATTGACCCTGGTGAGACTAGTCTCCTTCCCAGTTTTCTCCTGTGCTTTACCAACCCCACAAGCACAGGAGACAGTTCACATCCCTTTTTGGGACATAGAAAACACAGCTCTAGAAATATACAGACACAGGGAAGAATGAAAAGGGACCAAGTAGGTATGTGAGTGTAAGGTGCTGCATTCTATAGCTAGGTCTAGGTCTAAACTAAATCTTGCATGCTGACTCCAGAGCAAATACCCTAGTACACTCCACATCTAACTCATTGTCTTCTGTCAACCTTGGAGATCCCCATCTCAACCAGTGACTATACTGGATGCTCTAGTGGATATCTGGAATATTCTTGGACACCTAGTCGGTCTGTCTCTCTGCCTTCATCCATCCTGCTCATAAGCTCACAGGTCCTCAAATTGATCATTTACAGCAATGTCTACCTCCTGCTGCCTGGTCAAGTTCTTACCATCCTTTCCTAAGCTGGTTCATCTCCCTCCTGCACTTCTCCAAATGCATTGGACACTCCTTTCTAAAACAGAGAGACTGTCGCTCCTTGGTTTAAAAATAGATGTTTGCAAAACAAGGGCTCCATTTGCTTGACTTTTGAGGCTCTTCGCCTTCCAGCTTTGTTCAGCCACCATTCCCTCATTTCTTTTCCTCATCCCCCATAAGCCAAATGGATCTGGCTACTTTCAACTTCCTGCCAACCCAGCACTTCCTCATCTCTGTGGGCTGAAGGGATGGTTAATTGGTTATGAGCGCATGTTGGTTCACAAAAACCCTTAACTCCAGTTCCAGGGGAAGCAACGTCCTCTTCTGAACTCCATGGGCACACACACAAAATATGTCAGGGGACATGATAACATGGATCAGGAAAAGCCTTCAGGGCCTCAGTCCTAGACAAACAGCTACAGGCAATTGGAGCATGCGAAGAGCAGAAGAAGTATTCTTCTCCAAGAAGAGTCCCATTTGGTTATCCAGTACAGGTGGTCAGTCTGAAATACACAAACAGATAACTTTATATGGACTGAGCAGTTCATCTGAGCAGGTTACTTTGATGCATATAGGAAGGTAGGTAGGTCTGTGTGTGTGTGTGTGTGTGTGTGTGTGTGTGTGTGTGTGTGTGTGTAAGAAATAGAAGCCATGAATTTGAGAGAACAAGGGAAGGTACATGGAAGGGCTTGGAAGAAGGAAAAAAAGAGGGGAAAATTATAAAGTCATAATTTCAAAAAATAAAAATATAAAAAACAAGAAAAATACATTATAAAACATATTGACAGCAGTCAAAAGGGATTATTTTGTAGACAACAAAGTGGCATATTCTGGAATGAAGGCACCAAGCCATCTGTACTAAGTAGGGCTGTGGGCTCTGCATGCCAGGACTCTAAGTGACTTGCCTGTTTCTCTTAGGACTGGGTGTATGCCAGGACTCCCACAGTAACAGCTGTACTGGGCTCCTTATTGTTCTGAGTATGTTTGCAGAAAAGTTGTGCTCTGTCTGTCGGTTGGTTGGTTGGTTGGTTCTCTGTATAGCTCTAATTGTTCTGGAACTCACTCTGTAGACCAGGCTGGCCTCAAACTCACAGAGATCTGCCTGCCTCTGCCTTCCCAGTGCTAGGATTAAAGGTGTTCACCACCACCCGGCATGCTCTGTGGTTCTTGAGCCAAGCACAGTTCTATGGGGTGTATGTCCATCTTTGGGGTATCATGCATATCTCTCTTAGGATCCTCCTTGTTTCCCAGACTCTCTGGCAGTGGTATTATATGCTGACACTCCCCTGATGCATCTCTAAAAATCAATATTTGAGTGAGTACATACCATGTTTGTCTTTTTGTGATTGAGTTACCTCACTCAGGATGGTTTCTTCTAATGCCATCCATTTGCCTGCAAATTTCAAGTTTCCATTGTTTTTTTCCCCGTTGGATAGTACTCCATTCTGTAAATGTACCACATTTTCTTTACCCATTCTTCAGTTGAGGGGCATCTAGGTTGCTTCCAGGTTCTGGCTATTACAAATAATGCTGCTATGAACATAGTGGAACAGACATCTTTGTTGTATGAGTGTGCATCTTTTGGGTATATGTCTAAGAGTGGAATTACTGGATCTTCTGGTAGACTGATTTCCATTTTCCTGAGGATTCTCTATACTGATTTCCAAAATGGGTGTATGAGTTGACATTCCTACCAGCAGTGGAGGAGTATTCCCCTTTCTCCATATCCTCTTCAGCATAAACTGTCATTGGTGTTTTTGACAGGAGTAAGATGGTATCTTAGAGTTTTTATTTGCATTTCCTTAATGGTTAAGGGTGTTAAGCACTTTCTTAAGTGTCTATTAGCCATGTTAGACTCCTCTATTGAGAATTCTCTATTTAGTTCTGTACCCACTTTTTGATTGTATCCTTTGGCGTTTTGGAGACTTGCTTCTTTGTAAATTTTGAAGATCAGCCCTCTGTCAGATGTGGGGTTAGTCAATATCTTTTCCCATTCTGTGGGCTTCCTTTTTGTCTTGTTGACTGTGTCCTTTGCCTTACAGAAGCTTCTCAGTTTCAGGAGGTCCTATTTATTAATTGTCGGTCTCAGTGTCTGTGGTACGAGTGTTCAGGAAGCTGTCTCCTGTACCAATTCATGCAAGTATATGTCCCA